AGAGAGAGAGAGAGAGAGAGAGAGAGAGAGAGAGAGAGAGAGAGAGAGAGAGAGAGAGAGAGAGAGAGAGAGAGACTTACGTCTAATCAAAGTTTATTCGTTACTCGTCCTACCATCCTACCGAAGACCGCTTCTATGTTTAGCAATCCCATATTCCTTTGAACATGGTGTCGATCGACCTTATTGAGGTGGGGGAAAAAGAAGGTGTGCGGTGGTTGGCCATAGTGGATGGGTATTGGAAAAAGAGGAGGGAGAAGGTGTGAGGTTGTCGGCTATGGAGGATGGGTGGGGGAGGAGGAGGAGGAAGAAGGTGTGAAGTGGTTGGCTATGGTGGATAGTTGGGGGGGGTAGATGAGGAAGAAGGTGTGAGGTGGTTGGCTATGTCGGATGGGTGAAGGGGGTGGAGGGGGAAGAAGGTGTGAGGTGGTTGGCTATGGCGGATGGTGAACGAGGTTGTGGAGGAAGAACGTGTGAGCCGGTTGGCTATGGTGGATGGATGATGGAGGCGGACGAGGAAAAAGGTGTGAGGTGGTTGGCTATGGTGAATGGGTGGAGGAGGTGGAGGAGGAAAAAGTTGTGAGGTGGTTGGCTATGGTGAATGGGTAGGAGGAAGAAGTTGCGAGGTGGTTGGCTATGGCAGATGGGTAGAGGAGGAAGAAGGTTTGAGGTGAATGGCTACGGAGGATGGGTGAAGGAGGTGGAGGAGGAAGAAGGTGCGACGCATTTGGCTATTGTGGATGGGTGACGGAGGTGGAGGAGGAAGAAGGTGTGAGGTTGGCTATTGTGGATAGGTGACGGAAGTGGAGGGGGAAGAAGGTGTGAGGTGGTTGCCTATGGTGGCTGGGTGAAGGAGGTGGAGGAGGAAGAAGGTGTGAGGTGGTTGCCTATGGTGGAGGAGGAAGAAGGTGTGAGGTGGTTGCCTATGGTGGACAAGTGATGGAGGTGAAGGAGGAAGAAGGTGTGAGGTGGTTGGCTATGGTGGATGGTTGAGGGAGGTGGGGGAGGAAGGTGTGGGGCGGTTAGCTATGGTGAATGGGTGGAGGAGGTGGAGGAGGAAGAAGTTGTGAGGTGGTTGGCTATGGCGGATGGGTAGAGGAGGTGGAGAAGGAAAAAAAATTGAGGTGAATGGCTACAGAGGATGGGTGAAGGAGGTGGAGGAGGAAGAAGGTGGGAAGCATTTGGCTCTGTTGGATGGTTGAGGGAGTGGGGAGGAAAAAGGTGTGAGGTGGTTGGCTATAGTGGATGGGTGAAGGAGGTGGAGGAGAAGGAAGGTGTGAGGTGGTTGGGTAAGGTGGATGGGTGGTGGAGGTGGAGGAGGAAGAAGGTGTGAGGTGGTTGGATATGGTAGATGAGTGAAGGAGGTGGACGAGGAAGAAGAAGGGAGATGGTTGGCTATGGTGGATGGGTGAAGGAGGTGGAGGAGGAAGAAGGTGTGAGGTGGTTGGGTATGGTGGATGGTTGAGGGAGGTGGACGAGGAAGAAGGTGTGAGGTGGTTGTCTATGGTGGATGTGTGAAGGAGGTGGAGGAGGAAGCAGATGTGAAATGGTTGGCTATGGTGGATGGGTGATGGAGGTGGAGGAGGAAGAACGTGTGGCGGTTGCCTATGGTGGATGGTAAAGGAGGTGGAGGAGGACGAAGGTGTGAGGTGGTTGGTTATGGTGGATGAATGAAGGAGGTGGAGGAGGAAGGTGTGAGGTGGTTGGTTATGGTAGATGGGTGAATGAGGTGGAGGAGAAAGAAGGTGTGGGGTGATTGGCTATGGTGGATGGATGAGGGAGGTGGAGGGGAAAGAAGGTGTGAGGTGGTTGGCTATGGTGGATGGGTGAAGGAGGTGGAGGAGGAAGAAGGTGTCAAGTGGTTGGCTATGGTGGACAAGTGATGGAGGTGGAGGAAAAGTGTGAGGTGGTTGGCTATGGTGGATGGTTGAGGGAGGTGGAGGAGGAAGAAGGTGTGGGGTGGTTGGCTATGGTGGACAGGTGAAGGATGTGAAGGAGGAAGAAGGTGTGAGGTGGCTGGCGAGGGAGGTGAACGAGGAAGAAGGTGTGAAGTGGTTGGCTATGGTGGACAGGTGAAGGAGCTGGAGGAGGAAGAAGGTGCGAGATGGTTCTGCAAGGAAATGAGTGATAGCGAACTTCAGAAATCAAACAGCATCATACACATGAGACCAGATAGTCGTGACCTCAAACCAATAGCAGAATTGCATCACGAGTTTCACCAAAAAAGAACACAACAAAAGCTCATAATTGACAATGTTGGAATA